TCGTCATGGTTATCTTTTGCAGTTACAAGTTTTGGAAGCTGTTTGTCAGCGCATTCATAAGCCGAATTTGTGTGTCCAGAAAGATAGTGTAATTACCCTAAATTTGTTCAAATAATGTTCTGTTGTGTAGTGTGGCAACGTTGTTGCCACTTGTGCCTAAATTTGTTTTGTCACCTTCTTGTTTATTATTGTTATTATTATCATTCGTTCTCACTTTTTTGTTTTTGTTGCTGATACACACTTGTCACGCTTAGTTCTTACTTGTATACCCTTGTTATCTGCTAACTTTTGTGAGAAATCGCCCCCTCGATATTCCAGTGCTGTCATTGTATCGTGTAACCCTACCTTGATTGCTATATTATTTCCTTTGTTCTCATTTTGTTCTTTAGTACAACGGTGATTCCTGAAGAGTGTTGTACGAAAACTTGTTCGAATCATCTATTTTTTTCTCCATTACCCTTTTTCTTCTTACATGTATTTTTCCTTACCCTTTAGGTTGTTTCTTGCATCGTCTCCATCGCTTACATTGTTAATAAAGTAGTCCACATGTCGCTTCAGCTCGTCCTACTTATTGCCATATTAAATAATTATAGTCAAATCTTCTCAGATCAAAGGTTTTACTAGAATAATGCTATTAACTTCAGATATATTACTTGAAGTACATGAGAACGAGACCATGGAATAGAACACAAATACAGAATAACATAATCCACATCAGATTGCGATTCTAGACTATCATAGTCTATCACGTGTATGGCTACGATCATACTCGGTTGAATAGCATCAACGAGTGGAATATTTTTAAACTGCTGGGAATTTATACTATCGTTTTAACAGACACACACCTACACACACCCACACTCTCTCTCTCTTGTTCGTACAATCCGCGATATTCATGTTAAAACAAAATGGCGTCACGATTTATTGAAAGTGGTATAGTTGGTGGTACGAGTGTTCAAAACCATTTGAACTTCATACTGTTCGTCTTCTTTTTGACATGCTCTCTTTCCATCGTCCTTAGCTTTTGTTTGTTGAGAGCTGTTTTGGCTTTCTCCTATACCTCTGGGGGATGCCAAGTGATGGTTTTGAGAGGCTGGTGATGGCTGTGAGCGAGAGTTTGCCGATCGGCGTCGTCCTCGCTATAGCGATGAAAATACTAGTTACTGCGCACCTGGCAGATATCACAACACGTCGGAGCGTCCAGGAGCAAAGGAATCTTGGGTTTTCACTGGAATCTAGTTCCTCCAGCATCGTGTAGCCCACCGTCGGTGAATGGCGGTCCAGAAAGGTCGAACCTGGTCTTCTGCAGCATCTCGCAGTCCTGCGAGGCACACTGAATACGCCTGTCATGTATTCTACAAATAAAAATCACGAAGTAGTGGACTTTACAGTGATGAGTCTATCCTGTATGCTGCAAAAGACGCAGGAAATGTGACTGGTGTCTGTACACTCAGTGACTGGACGCCATCACCCCAGTCTTCTCCTGCAGGATCTGTTTGACATTGACATTATGCAGTAGGTCGGCATTGACCTGGTTTGGCAGCTATCGTAATAGTATCTGCCTGGTTGGATGTAGCAGGTTGGTGTTTGCTCGTCGTCCAGTCCGGAATTTTCTTGTAACTCACGGTGGAGTACGCGCAGGGTTTGTGATCATCCCTGTTCACTTCGATATTATCAAACACAACATTCCCTTTGTCACTCATCTTATCCTGAGTACTGAATTTGCTGACAATATTGCACCACACTTGTCACAACCTACCGCCACTGCTGGCGGTGGCGACTGGTTCGTCAATGGCGGTGACCAGGCTGACTGACTAGCTTCGAGACAGCGGCCTCGTTGTCAACCCCGCGGCAGTCTAAAGGTTGATTTTATCGATCCAGCCTCAGCGCCATGTTGACGATGCCCTAGTGACTGTGTGTCATGGATTGCCTTGCCATCAGCGGTCATTGCCGTCCACCTTGATGCAGCCCTCAACAACTGGCTCAGCCCATGGGAGCCTCAAGTGGACAAAGTTGTTGCCAAAGTAGCTCAGAAGATTGGTGCATCATGGTGTAGGTGAGCACATAACTAGGACTTCCCAGCGCCTATTTGTCCAGGCTGCGATACTATGTGACATGCTGTACTGCACATTCTTTTCAGAACTGCAAGGCCGGCAGCTGGACCGACTGCAGGGGTCGCGCACATGCAGGCCGCCTGTTGCCAGTGCAGCATTCTGGAACGTTCCTTCCTTCTGAGATCCGTGGAATAATAACTTTCTTTGCTTCAAAGCAAGTTGCTTACCTTTCTGTTGTGCTCCCAGTGTCCTTACAACAATAACCTACAGCAATGTTTTATTTTCCTTTCCATTCCCCAACCAATGAATACTACGATGTCGATTCTATTTCTTCATACCTTGGTGTGTGCCCGCGCACGCACGTGTGTGCGTGTATACCTCACTCGGCACTCGAAGTTCTGTTCCCCATCACTGGAACACTGCCTGTTCTTTCAGGACCTGCCATCATCTGCAGATGGGCATTCAATGATTGTATTGTGTGTGTGTTTCATTCAGAATCAGATCCGCTATCGTTGCTATAAGAGAAAATCTGTGTGTTCACATCCAGCGCATTTTTAGGTTTGCGTGCTTTTCTCGCCACGGGCGCATACATGGGACATTGTGTGTGTGTGTGTGTGTGTGTGTTTGTGTGTGTGTGTGTGTGTGTGTGTGTGTGTGTGTGTGTGCGTCTGTGTGTATGGGGATTTATTTATTTATTTATTGCAGCATCTCATAGCACAGTGAGAACACCGGCCAATACAAAGAGAGAGGGTGTTAGCCAACCACGGCAATTGGATATTGTCTGTATCGGCTTTTGGTACTAATGTTCAGGTCTGTGCTTGCATGTGTGAACATGAAATTGTTCGGTTCTGTGCATGCTATTGCTATGTTGTATATTATTGTATGTATGTGTGCATTTCCACGAACAGTGTAGACGAGCGTGGAGAGTGCATTCATCCCTCATCAACCACTTCCCCTTGGGCTTACGAGAGTTTTTTCTGCGTACCTCTCATTTTTGTTTGTGTCTCTCTGATACTGTATTGATGCCGGTACCTGTACCTCGATGTGTTCCTCTATCTGCAGTCGCCTTTAACCGTCGGTCAAGTTAACGTTTATTGTGCTCTAGGTATCGTGCGAATCAAAATGAACAATAATAACACAAGTCGTGCTAGAGTGACGACATGTGCGTGTAGTAGGGTTGATGCGATGGGACGTTATAATTAGGTGGAACAGAACACACATTGGGCAGATTGATTGGGCATCATTGATTGTGCTCAGTCTAAACAGTGAACATAATAATTATCTCCAGTGACAGACTGTAGCGGCTAGCCTCCAATAGGTAGCTGGCACTAGTCGCTACTGCTTGTTTGACAGGTGCCGCCAGAACCCCTGTTGTGTCATGCTATAGATGCACATGCCCTGTTCTGGGGCATACTGAGGTACTTTGATTTTGTTGACTGCATGTAGACAGCATCCAATAGTAGTACTCGTAGACCTTGGCTCTTTGTAGGTCAACCACCATCGCATGGATCGATCGGTGACTATGCACTTGGAGGTTGGAATAGCCCGCGCTGAACAGATCTTGCCATGGCCCAGGGAGTGAACTCGCTTACTCGACTATCCCGGTTTTAGTTAACCAGCATGAGTGGTGCAATTTGTCCATACCATGTTGCGAGCTCACAGTTGTTTGGGCAGGTTTTGAGCTGCACCACGAAACAAAGCGAAATAACGGCGTGACTGTAGAGCAAGGAAGCGGCGAGACGGCACTTCCAGGACGAGACAGGCAGTAGAGATGTGTTCACAGCACGAGCAACCTCTCAAACCCTGCCGGTACTCCACAGTTACAAGAAAATGTCGGACTGGACGACGCGCCAATGCAAACCTGCTACATCCAACCAGGCAGATAGCTGCCAAACCAGGCCAATGTCGACCCACTGCATACCGGTATGTCAATGTCAAACAGATCCTGCAGGAGAAGACTGGGATGATATTGGCGTCCAGTGTACGGACACCAGTCACATTTCCTGCGTCTTTTGCAGCATACAGGATAGACTCATCACTGTAAAGTCCACTACTTCGTGATTTTTATTTGTAGAATACATGACAGGCGTATTCAGTGTGCCTCGCAGGACTGCGAGATGCTGCAGAAGACCAGTTTCGACCTTTCTGGACCGCCATTCACCGACGGTGGGCTACACGATGCTGGAGGAACTAGATTCCATTGAAAACCCAAGATTCCTTTGCTCCTGGACGCTCCGACGTGTTGTGATATCTGCCAGGTGCGCAGTAACTAGTATTTTCATCGCTATAGCGAGGACGACGCCGATCGGCAAACTCTTGCTCACAGCCATCACCAGCCTCTCAAAACCATCACTTGGCATCCCCCAGAGGTATAGGAGAAAGCCAAAACAGCTCTCAACAAACAAAAGCTAAGGACGATGGAAAGAGAGCATGTCCAAAATAAGACGAACAGTATGAAGTTCAAATGGGTTAGAACACTCGTTCCACCAACTATACCACTTTCAATAAATCGTGACGCCATTTTGTTTTAACACGCATACGGTCCATTCATGAGCACGAAGAGAAGAAAGGCATATTAACACATAGTAATACCAGGCAGGCACAGTGGGTTGGTCAAAGACCATGATTGAGATACGAGAGGTACCTGGTTCAAGTCCTGCCTGGGAGCGGTTTTTCCAGCCGTGCTGCTACCCACAGTCAATTGGGAACTTGTGGCCAGGCACAAGGGGTACATGTATGCAGCTAATGGGGTCGCTTTCGGCACTTGTGCCAGTGGTTGTGAGACTTACCCACTCACCCCCACCGTTAGGCGCTGCATCTGCCGCTAGGGTTTATCGGGTGTTAGCGGCCGTCGTGAGTTCCCTTCGGGAACGGATACGATAATTTACTTTACTTTACTTAATACACTATCTAACGATGTTTAGGGTGTTCATTTTATGTTATGATAACACTTGTGTCCACGAAAACTTTACGTTGTTCTGAAGACATTTGGCCACATTCTGCATCCATATGGACGTTCTCCTATATGTATACGTTCATGGTCATGTAGTTGGGATGCCTGTGTTAATGCCTTTACACATGTCTTGCACGTAAAAGTCTTTATCCAGAATGGATACGTTTATGTCTGCGTAAATGGGACGATGTTGTGAACGATGTCCCACATTTCTTACACTTGTGCGGTCTCTCTCCAGTATGAATACGTTTATGAACACCTAGATTGCCTGACTGAGTGAAGGACTTCCCGCATACATCACACTTGAATGGTCGATCTCCAGTATGAGTACGTTTATGAGCACTGAGACTGTATGACTGAATGAAAGACTTCCCGCATACATCACACTTGAATGGTCGATCTTCAGTGTGAACACGTTCATGCACGCGGAGGTGAGATACTTTTTTGAACTCTTTTTGGCAATACTGACACCTTTGCGAGGTCTTATTCTTAGAACGCTTTTGTGAAACCTGATTCTGAGCCACAGCCTTAGAAGAGTCAGAATATGGTCGGATAGGACGCCTGTGTCCGACTGGCATTTCACACTCATCAGGTTTCTCCCATATTTCAGGTGTTCTTCCAGCGGACACTCCAGTATTTGACGCTGTGGCTGGAGTTAAGTCCATTTCAAACTGAGGATATGATCTCACAAGTGGTGCACGTTTCTCATACCCGCTGACCGCTGAAGTCCAGTGCACCACGTCTTCCATTTCAGAAGGTGCACTAGAAATTGTTTCATCCCTTTCGCTTTCGTTGGCTGTCCGAAATGTCTGTTCGAAAGCTGGCCGACGGTTAGAAGTGCTGCCTGAGTGAATCGTGTTCCTCGTCCATTTTATCAATGGCGGAGTAGAAACAGGAATTAGGTTGCTGGTATACTCAGGGGGTATGTTACTCGTGTCCTCTCTCTTTACCAGTGTAGCAGATCTCATCCACGACACTTTCTCCATGTTTTTCTCTAAAAGGTTGGACGCAGGATATGGTGGAATGGATGATGGACCATGCTCTCTAGAAGTTTGGTCGTGCATATTCCTCTTCGACTTCATCAATGGCGGCATTGGTGGTAGTTTATTCGAATCCACACTGCAGTCAGACATCGACTCCTCCAAGTCACCCATTTCTCACTGAACTTCAACAACTCTGGAAAGGAAATGGTATACCGAGCCAATATTACTCGTAGCTACTTCACGCAGTGGTTTTAAATTTCGGATTTAGAATGGTTCGCTCTGTTCACTTTAATATCTTGCTCAAGCGTGAAAAACAATATTAGTTGATAACAATAACAGATGGGTTTGCCCTAATTCTAGCAGCCCGCAATGGTTTACAATTGTACGTGTTCAATCAAAACCTGCCATATAATTTTGCATCAATGGTCGTACAAAAAGATGTGAGTTGCCGAAAAAGAATCTTGTCGTTTTAGCAGCAGCGTCATACACAGGAGTTTCTACTGGACGGACGCGTGAAACATGGGACCAACCTGATGCGCTTGGCATGCCAGTTGCACGAAGGCGTCCTATCGGACAAAATTCTGATTCTTCTACGGTTGTGGCTCAGAATGAGGATTCGTACAAGCGTTCTAAGTGTAAGACATTAAAGAGGTGTCAGTTTTGCCGAAAACAGTTCAAGCACGCTTCTCGCCTCCGCGACCATGAACGTGTTCATACTGGAGATCGACCATTCAAGTGTGATGTATGCGGGAGGTCTTTCACTCTGTCAAGCAGTCTATGTGTTCATAAACGTACTCACACCGGAGAACGACCATTCAAGTGTGATGTATGCGAGACATCTTTCACTACGCCAGGCAATGTACTTGTTCATAAACGTACTCATACCGGAGAGATACCACACAGGTGTAATACATGTGGCACATCGTTCACTCAGTAGTGTAATGTACACAGACATGAACGTATCCATTCTGCATAAAGACCTTTTACGTGCAAGACATGTGTAAGGTCATCCACACAGTAATCCTAACTACATGACCACGAACGTATACATACAGGAGAACGTCCATATAGGTGCAGACAGTGCCCAAAGTTCTCCAGAACATCATCATGTTCCGTAGACACAAGTGTTATCATAACATAAAATGAACAGCCAGAATATCGTTAGATAGTGTTTTACTATTGTGTGAAAATGTCTTCCTTCTCTTTGTGATTATAAATTATACGAACAAGAGAGAGATGGTTTGTCTGTGCGTTAATGTTAGAAAAATAATATACATTCTCACCACTTTGAAAAAGTTCACGTTTTATTGCTATTCATACTAGTCTGTGGTCTTAGCCACACACGCGATAGACTTTGATAGTCCAGATTCGCAAAGCTGAGGTGGATCGTGTTGTTCAGTATTTCTGTTCCATTCCATGGTCTCGTTCTCATGTATTATGTCAGAAAATTACAGTACTTATCTAGGATAACCTTTGATCTCAGAACTTTGTCTTTATCTAGATCGTAGATATGTGCGAAGGCTTTGTTGGCTTTTAGGAGAGCATGTCTGAGGACGTCTGAGGAGACCAGACAATAATGTGGAAATGAATCACTCCCATTTCGTATAAATTATGCAAGCACGTTTCCGTAGGGTGTAGAACGACTGTGCAAAGCCGCCTTTGGAAAGGTGTCTGAAGGGAAATTTTTCGCGTTTTCTTAAACTTTTCTTTTACATATTTCCACTCCACCATGCTGAAATACAATGTAGATCCAAACACACAACTGTGCAGGAAAGCTCACCCTTCCGCTACGTTTAGTCGGCAATAGACGTTTCGCATTCTGAAAAGCAAATTTTTGGTGAGTGCTAGATCCTTTACTTGTGTCAGAATGGCAGTTCAGCGCTGGACAACAACGTGTAGTGTTGACACTGACAAATAACAGTAGGAGTGATCATTTATCACTTAACCTCAGGTATAATAAGGTGATCATGTGTGTACAAAACTTGTATTGGTAATAACTTTGGCATACATTAATATTTTTCAACCAAATTTTCTGTGGTGATACATTGGGTTAGTTGTCATGGATTTCCAATATCAAATTTAAATTATGAGCTGAATGACGTCATCAGTGCTACTTTTTATGTTCAGATTTCAACCCAAAACGCGGAGAAAACGAAAAAATTAATAGTAAGGCCACAAATCCTGGTGAACTGGATAGCCTTTGGGCCCTAGATAAAGGATATTGGTGGATATTGTACATAGATAACAACATTTCGCTGGAAACCAGTATCGACTTGTTTCACCATACGCACTGTATACATTTAGTATACGAAGCTGTCGTTCCTCGGGGTCTGTTCAGACTCACCACCGCGATGAACGGGTGTTTAGTATCGATATCCAGCACATTCCCGCTTGCTGGGATGTACAGCTAGCCAATGCAACAGCTCTCATTCGCCAAAGACATTCCCCACGCTCCGCGTTTATGGATGAAGCTGTCATTGCCGTTTCAAAATAGCCGACATTGTCTCTTACACATAAATGACTGCGCTTTACATGTAGTGCATCACACCAGCAATCTGCTGTAGATCTACAGACAGTGCATGCAGCGAGCCGAGCATGCGCACTTGAGTAGGGTACTTGACTCCCACGCGCGATCGCTGGTCACAACTGTGAACTGAGTCTGTACACGCGACTGTGCTCGTGTCGTTGTGACTTGCAAGTGCACTCTGTACTGCACTGATGTACTGTATGACTACTGACTAGTCGACTGGACAGGAACAATGCAAGTGCAGTTTTCAGTGCGTGGACTCGGCTACTAAAACATTTTGTGGAAGCAAACAAGCCTTCTTTATGACCTTGGTCATTTTTCTCAATCGACTCTGCGCTTCCAGCTAGATGTGTCCGTGGGGTATTGCCCAACTAGAACTGTAGTCCTCACATGCCCCAGGTCGCGAGGAGCTAATCACTTTTGTCACCAGAACTCCTGCTCGGGACTCGACACATTTATTCCGTCCGATGTCATCTCCGCTGCGAGTGGGGAGCTTCATGCCCACGATAAAAGAGAACGTCATCATATATTTTGAATCCTTCATCAGAGAAAGCTATTCGAGCTCAAAACGACACAAGACGCCATTATAAAGATACTCTTACAGATCGCGATGTGACTGGCCTCCAAAAGTGCTGCAAAAGACTTGAAGTATTTTTCAAAACAAGATTGTGAAAAAAAGGTGAGCGCTCGAGTGCGGCGAACACGGCCAAACGCCATGTTTTCCTTGGTAACATGACGTCAGCCACATTATCACCATGGCGAGTTGCAGCGCTGATCTTGAAGTACAGCGGCACCAGAAAAGTGTCCTTATTCTACCTGAGACCCTTTCAGCACGCATCACGTATATGTACGTGATGGTACATGTAACTTAAGACGTCCATTTGAAATCGAAGAGGTGGCTTCACAGGCGATGCCCGTTTCTCACACCCGCTGAACGTTGAAGTCCAGCAGGTGGCCATTTTCACACCAAGGTTCAACTCGAGTTCAACTCGAGTGACAGGACTGCACCCAAAAAAGGTCAAACAGGCTAGTAAGTTGTACCCTACAGGCACGGTGACCAGGTGACTGGTGTACGCAGGAGCACGTGACCGCTTGTTCAACCATGTTCGATTGGGAATAAAGGAGGAGCGCTGGATCGCAGCCTTTTTGGACCAAAACCAGTCGACTCAGCGTCCAAAAGACAACAACATGTGGGCCAACCGCGTTCATCCGTGCATTTATAAGAACGAAATGGCGCTTTTAGTGACATTTTGCATACAAATCCCCATCTAGTAGGGCGGAGTCACCCAGTTTCGGTGGAAGTGCGCGTGTTCGATTTGAATTCAAGTAGGAAGGGAGCGTCTCAGCTTTCTCGGACCAAGATCATTCGACCCAGCACCCCGAAGACTACAACTGGTGAAATTTACATTTTTGCCTTAACATCTCCTTTAACCACTGTGGCAAGTTTCTTTTGCAGACCCATAAATCATGTGATGTTTTGACCATTTTTGAGAGGAATGCCAATTTCAAAGTCCCTTTCAGACAATTTTCACGCGCTTTGCATAGTTGATCTACACACGAAGGAAACGTACCTGCAAACTTGTAGCGAAATCGGACAGATCGACACGCACACATTCTCTGGCCCTGTCACACATGCCGCCTAAAAAGTCCCCTACCGTTCACACAGAACTACGATCTCAATGAAACATGACGTTCTCACATCAAAGGTTTTGCTAGAATTATTATTAACTTCTACATAATGCATGAGAACAAGACCATGGAATAGACCACAAAACGATCCAGGGTGGTGGCGAGACTATACATTTGGATATCAGTGACCACTCTGCAATACGTGCCAGGCTGCCAATTTCAGCAAGTCACCACTTGAAGGGACAGCATCTGCGCAAGGCTCGTTGTTTGCACAAAGTGGATTGGAATATGTTTGCATGTGACCTAAAGAATACGCTTACTACCTGTGACTCTGTCTGTGTGGATGTGTTGTCTCGTACCTCACTGCGGGGATCCAGACCACTCTAGACAAACATGCTCCACTTCGGGAACGGCGCCGCAAATCTCGACGTCCTTGCCCCTGGATTACAGATAAGTTAGTGGCAAGTGTTCGTGAACGGAACCGGGCGCATCATCTCTGGCTCCGAGACAAAATCGATCAGAACCTTCAAGAAGCACGCCAATCAGCTCGCTCCAAAGAACGCAGAAGTTTGCGCAACTTGTACTTCACTAAGAGATGTGATACAACAGATCAACGGAAACTTTGGGCTGTCATGAACGATGTCACAGGCCGACAGAAGACACGGAAAGAACCTGAAGCGCCGCTTGAGTCAATCAGTAAATTGTTTGGAGACATTGTGCATGACCTATGCGGCCACCTGAGCTGCATATACCACATGGTCCAGCCTCTGCATCTAGCTTCTCAACATTTCAGCCGGTAAGCGTGTCTGATGTTGCACAATGCTTGCAAACTGTGAGTCCTCACAAAGCATCTGGGAGTGACAACATTCCTGGAATTGTACTGCAGTGGTGTTCAGATGTCCTGGCACCTCCATTTACCACCCTAGTCCATGCATCCTTGACATCAGGTACTGTGCCAGTGTGTTTTAAAACATCACACATTAGTCCACTGTTCTAGAGTGGCGATGCAACATCCCCTACTAACTATAGACCAGTGTCCATGCTCCCTATTCTCTCC